TCAACGCCCAGGACAAAGGAGGCCTTATCCCTCTTCATAATGCTGCGTCTTATGGGGTCAGTGTCCATGACATTTCATATCAAATGTAGATCTTGTGCAGTTTGATTTAAGAACCTTACATAATGTCAAATTGGTAACATATTTAAACTAAAATATATTTATTGTGTCGATGGTCTAAATGTTATCAGAAAATATGAAATTGGTTCTGTTTCTTTTTCCTAAATTGAATCATTTTTTTATGGTTCAGAGACTGTCCCTGACTTTTCTTCTGTCTTCTCTCTGTCTCACAGCACGTGGACATTGCAGCACTACTCATCAAGTACAATACGTGCGTGAATGCTACAGACAAATGGGCTTTCACACCGCTCCACGAGGCTGCCCAGAAGGGTCGTACTCAGCTGTGTGCGCTGCTGCTGGCTCATGGAGCTGACCCCACCATGAAGAACCAGGAGGGCCAGACTGCTCTGGACCTGGCCACGGTAACTGCTTCTGTCAACAGCTTAGGAAATACTGTGTAGTTAATATTTTCAGGCCAGCTTAGTGATTTGAAAGTGATGCATATTAAAAGAAATCATAAAATGTCTAAGTTTGCCCTGACTAGTTCCAGAGCCTCTGAACGAATGCACTTTTTCTGCAGGCTGATGATATCCGGGCCTTGCTGATGGACGCCATGCCACCAGATGCCCTGCCCAGCTGCTTTAAGCCCCAGGCTACGGTGGTCAGCGCATCAGTTATTTCCCCTGCCTCCACGCCATCCTGTCTGTCAGCCGCCAGCAGCATAGACAACCTGGCTGGCCCGCTCACCGAGCTGGCTGCCGCTGCTGCCGCCAGCAACTCAGGGGTGGCAGACGGAGCCACGGGCACTGACCGCAAGGAAGGGGAAAGTGAGTGTGATCTATTTTTGATATCTCATACTGGGCGGTTTACGACATTGGTGGACACGGAGAAAATGTGGATACTGAAAAAGCGTGGTTTATTTATTTTTCTTTCAACTTCTCATGTCTGTTTGTCTTTTTCATAGTGACAATGCTGGACATGAACATAAGTCAGTTCATGAAGAGCCTGGGTCTGGAGCACCTAAGGGACATCTTTGAGAGGGAGCAGGTCAGCTTCCTCAGAAATACTTCAACTAAAGCTTAACCATTCATTGATGTCTGTCACTCAATCAATCCAAGTATAATCCCAGTATATGTTTAAATACACTGAACAGTTTTACATATTGAGATGAACTTGTTCCCTTTTTTTCTGTGGAGCTGTTGCAGTGTGTTAAATACCACAATTAGAATGGGTCAGAATAACTGTGGTGTGTGCCTCTTTGTTAACGTTGCTAATGTCTGAGCAAACAGACTTCGTCGATTTATGGCTGCGATATATTTCTCAACCTGCTCTATTCTCTTGCTTTTCTAGATCACTCTGGATGTGTTGGCTGACATGGGTCACGAGGAGCTGAAGGAGATTGGAATTAACGCCTATGGCCACAGACACAAGCTAATCAAGGGCATTGAGAGGCTGCTGGGCGGCCAGCAGGGTGAGGAGCCGGGACTTTTGTCTACGAACCATTGTATCACCACAATCAGACATTTTTTAACTTGCACAGAGCAGCTTTAAATTTTAACTCTTGTTTTCTTTTCAGGTGCAAACCCATACCTGACATTCCACTGTGCCAACCAGGGCACTATCCTGATAGACCTCGCCCCAGACGACAAGGAGTACCAGTCTGTGGAGGAGGAGGTGAGTCGACTTGATCTTTTTTTATCTACAGTTTTTTTTTAATGAGCAGTTGAGAAAAAAATAGAAGAAATGTGGCACACCATTGGTAATGTGTTTCTAATAACACCATGGTGGTTTTGTTGTGTCGGTCAGATGCAGAGCACCATCCGAGAGCACAGAGACGGAGGCAACGCTGGCGGCGTGTTCAGCAGATACAACATCATCAAGGTCTGAACCAGTAGTACCTTCACAGAACACTGAACTGCTTTTATAGGGAATCTTTCTTTGATAAATAGTCAAATTGAAAACTAACCAAATGCACCGAATCAATATTTTAAATCAGAAATAACGTCCAGCATTTTGTTTGATGTGTGTCATATTGTTCCTCACAGATTCAGAAGGTTGTAAATAAGAAGCTGAGGGAACGTTACACCCACAGGCAGAAGGAGATCGCAGATGAGAACCACAACCACCACAATGAGCGCATGTTATTTCATGGTAACCAAAAACACCTTTTTTTTGTGTCAGCTTTTACGTTCAGTTTTTAAAAAACTAGAAGTAACTTCAGACTGTGATTCTTCAGGCATGTATTTGTAATTATGTAAAGCCCAGTTTCAGTTACTGTATTTAATAACTGTATAAATATTGTCACATATTTTTAAGGTTCCCCGTTCATCAACGCAATCATCCACAAAGGCTTCGATGAGCGCCATGCCTACATAGGAGGGATGTTTGGAGCAGGGATCTACTTTGCAGAGAATTCCTCAAAGAGTAACCAGTACGTCTACGGCATCGGTGGAGGCACGGGCTGCCCGACGCACAAAGACCGCTCCTGCTACCTGTGCCACAGGTAACTTTGACTTAAACCTTGACACAGAATATCGTGTAATATTGTGGGGATAGACACTTGTATAACCCCTTTCCTCTCATCTGAACTCTCAGGCAAATGCTGTTCTGCAGAGTGACCCTGGGGAAATCCTTCCTACAGTTCAGTGCTATGAAGATGGCCCACGCACCCCCAGGACATCATTCAGTCATCGGGCGGCCCAGCGTTAACGGCCTAGCTTACGCGGAGTACGTCATATACAGAGGAGAGCAGGTACAAAAAGTTTCTTTCCCTAAATCCTGTTTAGGGCTTCGGTATTAACCAAAAATAAATGAAACACCTGCTCATGTGTGCTAATGTTCTGCGTTGTCTTTCCTTCAGGCCTTCCCAGAGTACCTCATCACCTACCAGATCCTTAAACCAGAGAGCGCAGCCCAGTTAGCGGCAGGAGCGGAGCAGAAGTCATAGTTACCTTACATCACAAACACACACATGCACACACACAAAAAGGACTTAATGCCTGTTATTTTCTCATTTGTATTGCAAATGCCGAAACACCTTTTTATTTACCAAACACATTTCCAGTCTGTTGTCCAGTAGAAACCATGGTGACCAGTGTTTAATGAGCAGTTATGCTGTATAATACTCTCCTACTCGTGGTGATGACTTTTTTTAATCTTTTTGCATCGGCTGCATGTTAATACAGAAGCATGAACGGCCCAATAGCGTGTGTGGGTTAGTCCCCCCCCCCCTCTTCCTCACCAATCAGGAGGATGCTTGTAGAGACTTTAAAGTATCAGCATTAACAGTTCACCACTCTTTGTCGCCTCATGCCTCCTGACCATGGAGAATCAGCGATCCCTCCCCTCTACACACATACTGTGTCACTGTCAGAGCCTGAAGCCTGTGGACTACTACTGCCCCACTGTATCTGGGCTCATCGTGTACAGAATGGCCTCCAGTAACTGTGATTTTTAATGCTAACGTGTAACACTACCAAACCAGTAACCGTGCATTGTTGCGATGCTGAACTTGCTGAACTTTCGCCCTGAGAACACTACAAACGCTGAACTGAAATCTGAAATGTTCTTTTTATCGTTTTATTCAAGGCTGGACACACTCGATGGAGAGAGGGCTCTCTGTCAAATCACAGGAGACTATTTTAATGTCATCATAAAGTTAATTTGTATGAGAGCGGACATGTGATCAGTAGCTTGATGCAACTTAAGGCATCACAGTTCCACGAGTTGTGTTTGTACATTGACAGCATCATATATGACTGTGCTTCAAACAGTAGAGCTGGTCTATGTTGACATGTGATTGTGATGCCTTACAAGTCATCAAAGCACCCCTCTGTTGCCATGGTCTCACAGACATCCCACGCATAAGGATTTGCACTTTTACATAGAAACCTATTTAAGTTATTTTGAATTTAAATTGCGAATTTTCGGGAAAAAATATTTGTACAGGTTGTGTAAATGGTTGTGTATAACTGTTGCTGTTTAACAGTACCTTTTGAGTTCAACTGTAAATGACATCTGTATTTTTCTGTTTATGTCTTCTTGATTCTCCCAACTTTTTTTTAAATAAATGTCCCATTAACAGCTACTTGTTAAGTGTTTATTTATAAATGTTGTCAATATTATCATGGCAGTCTTCTCTGTACACAGGATTGTGGTAGAGCTGTTGTTACATATCAAGATACAAAAGACAATCGGGTAGGATTTAACTTTGGTCATTACTCAGACAAAGGTGCCATGGAGGGAGTACCACACATACACAGACACAACATGATGTTCTCAAAGATTTACTCACCAGTCTACAAACTAGGCTGAGGACCGTGGACTTTTCTGTTTGGACTCCCAAGCAATGGAACAAACTTGTTGAGAAGGTCAGGCTGGCTGAGTCCTTATCATCTTTTAATTTGCTCTTTTTAATAAAGTGCTTTTACTGGGCTTGTGGTTTAACAGTGATTATTATCTCTGTTGAGGAGGTCATGTGTTTGGATTGCCATGAACTTGATAGAAGGATGTAGTATTGGTCAGGGAAGAATCCTGTGTGGCTCTGGATCCAGGAACCTTTTTTTTTTTTAGCACTTTCTTTACCAATGAGATTTTATGACATTTTCTTGATTTCTTAGAATAATTCATGGATCTCGGTGAAAACAAAATCTGACATTTTTAGAGAACTGATGTTTCAGATGTGGATCTAGTGAATTGAAACATGGATCACAAGGGGACTGTGGGGCTGGTGGAGGTATGAACTCTAGTTTTAGCCAGCCATGCTCTTCTAGCTTTATTTTGTTCTTTCTTATTATATTTTTAGATTAGCAAAAAAAAAGGAAGGAGGCAAATGTGTAGCTGTACACTGAAACAAGACATGATGTATAATAACACCTGTGAATACATATGTTATTATAATGCATCCATGACCAAAGACTACAGTGTCGCATGCAAATGACGTCACCAGAATCAGCTGACGGCGCCAGTGTCTCGCTGCTACGGTGAAGTTGTGGTAGTTTCTGTTCTCACAGTGAATTATGTTCGAGGTTTCTGCTCCATCGTGTCGCACACACAATGTGTCAGACGTGTTGGATTGAAGTGAACTCCTCGGGGCTGATCTCACACGTTTCCTGCTCATTTCAGAAAGTCGTGTGTGTCAAACATGGGGTGGGAAAGTTTCTCTGTCCTGGTTTTCCTTCTTCACTTCACCCAGACGTCAGGAGCTTCCTATGTGATCACAGCTGATGTGAGGAGAGCAGCAGGAGATCTCAAACACTTCTGGACGAGCACTGGATTCTGGTAAATGTCTATTTTTATTCCCGGCTCCTCGTGCAGAATGCACAACAGAGAATGATAACCATGTCAGAAAGTAGAGATTTTACTGCATTGGGAAAATAACACTGCAGTCAAGCGAGCAGACGTTCGTCTTTTCCTGATTTCAAGTGCGCCCGTATTACAGAATGTATGGCAAATGCATGTAGTCCATGATGCGGAGCGAGCCAATCTATTACTCTACTGTAAAATCCCTTTATTCCATAATTTCTGACAAAGGTTGATACAGTTAAACTCAGGACCATCCTGACTGTTCACTCACTCAGTATCAAGCATATTTACTGTATCAGTTTCTGAGAAATTCAGCCTCAAAGTTCATTATTTTGAATTGAAAAATGCATTATGTTTCAGTACCTCCACCATTATCAGCTAAAAAAAAGGAACTCTGAACTGCTCACTTGAGTCTTCTGTGATTATGAACATGTGTGAATTAAATTCACATCAGCTCGAAAACTCAACTCAAAAAGCCATGATAGGTTTTTAAATGTATATTTTTTTATTGGAGATTGGCACAGTTTTTCTCTAGAGACAACACATGTCAGATCTATGAGCTGGCATCTTAAACATATTGTAAAATGAAGTAGAATTCATTCAGAATAGACACTCAGTGCCTCCACCAAGGATGAAATCACATTTAAATTCACTGCAGGTAGATTTTACTCATAAATGCAAGTCCCATAAGAAATCAATTAAAATGTTGAAAAACACCCTATTTAACAATGTCAAAAAGAGAAAATTCCTGGATTGGCCCCTGATCCAGATCCGTACCAATGTTTAATGGGTTCTCTCCAGACTTATATGATGTCCTTCCACCACATTTTGGGGAAATTGGTCCAGTAGTTTTTGTGTTATCCTGAAAACTAACAGACATACCAACAAATAAACCATGTTGAATATATTACCTCCTTGACGGAGGTAAAAAGGATTTTTGTGTCATCGCAATGTTAAACAGGAGATTGTTCTTTTGTGTCCAGCCCTCCTCTTCCTCACACCCAGGCCGACCACTTTGACCTGAGTGTCGACCAGCAGCTGAACCTGGCCTATGTGGGCTCCGTTCCCCACGGAGGGATCCAGCAGGTCAGGATACACTGGATGTTGGAGCTGGTCACTGCACAGTAAGTGAACCTGCTAGTGGAGACCATTTAGTGAAATGAAAGATTTGTCTAATTTGGTAAAAGTTTTTAATCTATTTATTCTGTCTGATGTTGTTGTAGAGATATCGGAGGACGACCTCAGTACAACTTCACTAAACTGGACCAGCTCATAGATCTCTTGTGGATGAATGGACTCCGACCAGGTAGTGATCCATCACCACAGGCTTAGAAACATCACATCATATCTGTGATGCATCACACTTGCCTCCATGTTTTGGCCTGGTGCCAGGTTGGTGCTGACGGGATGAAACTCAGATGTTTGATTAAGATTATAAAGCTGAGTTCTTTTTTTTCTTGCACCTCTGGTTTTCAGGGTTTGAGCTAATGGGCAGCGTCTCGAACTACTTCACTGACTTTGAGGAAAAATCCCAAGTAGTCGAGTGGAAGAATCTGGTTTATCTCATAGCCAAGAGGTACATCGGTGAGTGCTGAATGATTATTGAAAAAAATGATTTCAACCTGGTTGCATGAAAGCTGATATTTTACCTTGTGTATTTCAAAATTGAATATTACAAATATTTGCATCATTTTAACCTTGTTAATGTGGATTCTGAATCACAGACCGGTATGGCCTGGGAAGTGTTTCTCACTGGAACTTTGAAACGTGGAATGAGCCAAACAACCATGACTTTGATAATGTCACCGTGTCCATTCAAGGTAAAGTCAGAATAGTTTTTGATAAGAGGAAATTGTGACGGTAATTTTGGCTCTTTGAAGGGAGCCGGGGTTATCAGGTTTATGTGTGAAATAATAACTTGAGTGATGTTATGTGGGATAAGATTTGGATAGAATCAAACTTAAATGCCCCACCAATTTCTTTTTGCTTGTGTGGATAATGTTCAACAGCACTAAATTTCTTGTACTGCCAGACCTAATGTCAATTATCTGCAATGTTAGACAAGGTGACACCATATCACTGTAATGAAGGAGGGGGTCTCCTCCTCCCTCTTCCTGTGCAGTGACAGAAATCTTGTGTTGTCACTGTTCATGTGAGGGGGGGCTCCATTTCATTGGTTTCATTCTTACCAAAGAGCCGTTGAAAAGAATCAGATCGCTCACAAACATCATATCACTAAATGTCAATTTGTTTTCACGTGTACACTTAATATTGAAATGATTGTTTAGTAAAGATGCAATAAAAGAGGACTCTCTGTTGTGAGCATGAACAGACACATAGACGTGTAGGTGTTGTGCCCATGACCATTTCTCTGGCTCTTTTCTTTTTCAGGGTTCCTAAACTACTATGATGCCTGTTCGGAGGGTCTGCGTGCTGCCAGCCCCCTTCTGAAGTTCGGGGGTCCCGGGGACTCCTGTCATTCCCCCCCACACTCTCCGTACTGCTGGGCCATGGTGCAGCACTGCTACGATGGCACCAACTACTTCACTGGAGAGACTGGAGTCAGGCTAGACTTCATCGCCCTGCACAAGAAGGTGAGATTTTCTAGCTGTTACCTTATCAAGTTAATTTTGATACCAGGTCATGAAAAGTTTCACAGAATGATATAATATATTATATTATCAGCACTTTCACTACGAGGTTGGGGGTTTAATTCCCGTCCTGCAGGGACCTTTCTGTGCTGTTTGCATGTTATGGCTGCTTCACGTCCAGCTTCCTGTGGCTTCCACCCACAGTATAAAGACATTCAGATGGAGGTCCAGTGGAGACTCTTTCTTTTTGGCAGCTGACTCTCTGTTTCTGTCCCTCAGGGAGGAGGCTATTCGTTGCCCATCCTCCAGCAGGAGATCCAGACAATGGGGGAGATCCAGGAGCGTTTCCCCCGGTTCCGCAGCCTCCCTGTGTATAATGATGAGGCTGATCCTCTGGTGGGCTGGTCCAGGCCTCAGGGGTGGAGGGCTGATGTGACCTACGCTGCCATGGTGGTGAAGGTGAGGTGAAGGGATAGAGAAGAACAACATGAAAAATCCCCACAAAAAATTATATTTGAACATTGGAAGCTGAAGATCAACGTTTGTCTCGAGTGCAGATGAAAACTGAATTGCTCTCAGTAGTGCTCATTTCTCCACCAAGGCCCAACAGTCATAAATATTAGTATTAGTCCCATAAACATGTCTGATTTGTTTCATGAAGATCCATGAGTTACTCTCTGATAAATCAACAGAAATGTTAAAAAATAGATCATATCTCACAATGTTAAATAAAGTGAAAAAACATGCCTGGATCTGCCTTCTGATCCGGATCCTCAATGTTTAATGAGTTCTTCCCTGACACATCCCACCTCCTTCCAACAAGCTTCATGGTAATTTGTCTTCTAGTTTTTGTGTATTCCTGCTAAAACAGACAAACAAATGCAGATGAAAAAGGAAGAGGAAATAATTTATTTAAACACATTTGAGAAGATGATTACTCACGCTATGACTAGAGCTCAACCAATTTATCAGTTGATGAATAAGAATCTGCCAATATGAGCCTTTCACAGAGATTTGGTGTCAGTGTTTGCTCATGTGGTTCAATATGAAGTCTTTGATTCTTCAGATTAAACAGATAAAGGTGCTGTGACTGAAGACATCATGTATTTCTCTGTAAATATTTAATGAAATGGAAACATAAGTTAAGTCTAACCAGTCCTCTGTCCTGCTCCCTTCATCAGGTGATAAACCAGCACCAGGATCTGCTGCTGTCAGACCCTAACAGCACCATCAACTACACCCTGCTGAGCAACGACAACGCTTTCCTCAGCTACCACCCGCACCCCTTCACCCAGCGCACGCTGACGGCACGATTCCAGGTCAACAACACCCAGCCGCCTCACGTCCAGCTCATCAGGAAGCCTGTCCTCACTGTCATGGGCCTGCTGGCTTTACTAGGTGACACTCAAGGGTTTTATGAGGAAATGTATGATTGAGGTGTGTTGGATGATGTGTGGATTTTCATAAGTAGACCCAGTGAAGCTAAAGCTCTGCTCTCCCAGGGTGTTGCTCCTTCGTGTGTACCAGTCTCATGGTAACAGCCCTGTGTGTGTTATAACATTCAGGAGAGACCCAGGTCTTGGCTCAGGTTCTGAACGCAGCAGGAACCAGCAACAGCACAGTGGGAGTTCTCGCCAGCAGCCACGAGCCTGTGATGCCAGGCGGCTCAGACAGCTGGCAGGCGGCAGCGCTGGTCTACAACAGTGACGACAACCGCACCTCCACCGACACTGATGATGTCACCGTGTCACTGACAGGACTGGCAGCACAAAAGGGTGCGTTTAACAAAAGACTGTTGGCTTTAAGGTTTTTTATATCAAAATATTGTTCTAATAACTAAAATCTTGCAGGACGTTGTTTCTGTATGTGAGCGATTCACTTCAGTGCTGCGTGTTGTGTGTATCCAGGTCTTGCGTATGTCACATATTACATCGACAACAACATGACCAACCCGTACCAGCTGTGGCAGAGCATGGGCAGCCCCGACTATCCCACAGCAGAACAGTTCAGACGGCTCAGGGGGCTGGAGGTAACCAGGAGGATTTTACTCACACAGTTATTATGCTTGGTTGTTTGTCATGCAGGTTGAGTGCAAAAACAAAACAGCCAACGTTCGAATAAAGCAGTAAAATTGCTTATATGGTGTACACCACATATTATACATTCATTTGATGAAACATTATGCTGTTTACACCCATCACACTAGTAGTTCCTAAACCTCTGGGGGGTAGCGAGACACAGTACGAAGGTCAAAGGATGATTTTCAGAAATCTAATACAATTAAGAAATGACTGCCATTTGAGGGTTGTAGGCTGAAAAGTTTGGGGACCACTGCATTAAACACTGTACTGTAATAACATGTCTATAAGTGATGGAGGGTGGTTGATTGATTGAAATTACAGAGTCTCACAGGCACAGGCTGCTTCTCCTCTCTAACATGTTTGAGTTGAGTTGTTTGACTCACTGATGAGGTGTCGTCATGTCAGGACCCTCATGTTGATGGACCCTGGGAGATTCCTGCAGGCGACACTCTGACTCTAAAAGCCAAACTGTCCGTGCCCTCCGTTCTCCTCATCCACGTTTGTGCTCGGCCCAAAGCTCCGCCCGACCAGGTCAGTACCAACAACACAACCAATGTGAACTCAGAACAACTCTGAGTGCACCAGTTCAGTCTGACCTTTTGTCTTTGTCATCTGTGCCAGTGTTTGTCACTTAAATTTTAAGGTCTTGACCTTATTGTGTTATGATTTGGCACTTGAACTGAACTGAGTAGCTTTTATTTTAGTTTTATTTATTCATTTTTTGCCATGGATTTGTGTGAAGTACTTTGTAAACTTGTTTAGATAAGTGCTTTACAAATAAGGTTGTTATTATTATTATTATTTTTACTGTGTGGCTGTGGATGTTTCTGTGTCTGATTTTCTCAAGTCTCTGAACTAAGTGAAAGACATTAACATCCTGTATCTCAAAGCCTGATTCTATCTGACTCAATGTGTGATCAGGTTAATGGATTACGCTTCATCAGAATCACCAAAGGCCAAGTTCTGATCATCTGGTCTGATCACTGTGTTGATTCCAAGTAAGTTCACAAAACCAATGATTTCACTATGCATGTATCTGCCAATCCAAGAGATTATGAAGGAACTCAGTAGATTGAATCCCTCTGTCATGATGTTGAAATTCAGTGAAAATGTCCACATAATATAGAAGTCATCATGCATTAGTCCATTCATTCATTCTCCTGTCCTCATATGTGCAGATGCATCAAGACTTTTGAAGTTGAATTCTCTTCAGACAACAAGAACTTCAGCAGGATTAATACACAGGACACCATCTTTACTTCATACGTCTTTTCACCAGGTGAGAATTCCTCTGAGGTTTTAAACAAGTGATGATAATCAGCAGCATTGTGTTATAGAAATAACATCTTAAAAACACGGTGTGTTCTGTAGTGGACCTAGAAGTCAGCGGCCTGTACCGAGTGCGAGCTGTGGACTACTGGGGACGGCCTGGGTCGTATTCACTGCCAGAGAAGTATTCAGAGGAGCTTTAGACCACGGTGATGTGACACCTTGATAAATGCAGGGTTTAAATCAGATTTTACTGTTGATACTTTCTATACAGTGTCACTTGTTTCATCAGTGGTATAAAATGAAAAATAGATAATAAAATGTCAGTAGACAATGAGATGAGTAATCTGATCACACTGTTACATAAACTGTTCCCATCAGAACAACAAAGGTAATAGATGCATTCATGATCTGTTCTTATCTGTATTTTTTATATAAATTCTATTTTGTATACTTGAAATGTCAAAGATTTTTATATGTTATATGTAGATAATTAAAAGTTGGATTATCATTGTCAGTTTTCTAACAGTTGTTTTTACAAACACAAGGAAAACAGCAAGTTACTGTACAAAATTTATTGTCACCAATACAGATGGATAAAGCAGTGCAGTTACACATCACAGTTGATTCTATCTTCACATTCACTCAACTGCTAATAGTTTTCATTTGATTACACTTGGAAGTATATTTCAGTTTTTGGCAGAATAATTAATTGAACATTTTCACTGAAGTTATGAGATAGTTCTCTTCTGTGCTAATTAGAACAGGATTATTCTCCTCTTTGCATCTCTGAGAGGAGCTCTGTCGTCAGAGCAGGATGATCAAACCATGGAAATGAAGGGAAGTTCAATAAACTCCAGCTTAGGTCCAATTTAGCAAGCTCCTGTTAAGAATAGAAGAACAAGTGATAGATGAGTTTACATGTTACACAGAGCTTTAAAAATGTATCCTAAAAGTTAAGACTAAAATATCAACAGGGAAAATCTAGATGACCTATTTGTCCTCCTTTTTCTAAATTGAAAGTTAAGAATACACACTCTTTTAAAAAGTCAGCAGTGTTATTTACTTCTAATGTTACCATCCAGAGCATCAGCTATTCCCTTCAAATTCAAGTAACCCCTGGCCAACGCTTCACGATCTGTGAAGCTGAATGTGAAAGACTGAGTACGTACCGGACTGCAGCACAGGCTGGAACTGTCCGGCCATGCAGACCTCCTCCTGCTTTTGGCGAACGACTCTCTGGATGGGTGGGGAGAGGCCACGGGGGTTGCGGGAGAAGACCAGGGAGTAGCCGTCCTCACAGCTTCCATCCTCCTTCTGGGTGCGGCAGGCGTAAGTGATGGCGTAGTTGTCATAGTCGGTGTCAATGACCCAGTAGTTGTCACCTGGAAGAGCATGAGAACCAGAAGTTAGTCTCAGTTGTGGGTGACAGAGAGCTAGAGGATAAGTGCACCTGAGGAGGCTCACCGCCACTGGACAGGTAGCTGGCCAGTCCCTGGTAGTTCATGAACATCTTGCCGGGGGTAACGGGATCGGGCACGGAGTACTGAGCAGCCATGTCTGCGCACACAACCCAGAACCTGGATTTCAAGCAGAGAAAGATATGTCACGTGTAAGCAGGAATATATCATATACTTAATCTATCAAACTGCTACTAAAGAGTTTTTTCAAAGCGATTTCTAAAAATCACAATGACCCACCCAAAGAGAGTGACTCTGCCCCTGGAGGAGGCCACCATGGACCCATCGTCTCCAACAGTGTATTCAGCTGAGATGTTGTCCTGCAGGAACAAACCCTCGGGATCTTTCTTCTGCAGAGCGTACCATTTTCCAGCGTACTGTCGAGACAAGTAAAAAACGTCCAAAAATCAATAGATCATTTTATTTGCCACACAAGTCTCTTTTGTGCTTGTGTGAATGCAATGCACAACGCTATTTCATTGTCTGCAGATGATATCCTGGTTTATATGTAGGTTGGATTAGTTTACCATACTTGTCGTGTAACCTTCTATTTATGGAATGATATGTATTCCTTAAAGAGTGTACTCACTCTAACGGGGTCGAAGTCCTCTTTGACTGTGAAGCTGTCCACCACACAGGAGGCCAGGCTCTGCTCGACACAGGCCAGGAACAGCATCGCCACGGCAAACATTTGGAAGTCCATTCTAGACAAAATTATGATTCTGATTTACAGCTGCACGAATCTCAATCAAAACGGCACTTAAGCACCTCTACTGTAAAAAGATGGGTAGGTCCCCTCAAAGCAGCATGTACCTACCTGAGGTGTAGATTGAAGCAGCAGGAGGTTTTCAGTGCAGAGCTGTTGCAGTGTCTGAGCTGTGGTGAGCAGACGGTGTCCCAGTCTTTTATACACGATGCACAGACAAGCTTGCTGATTTATTTTCACTTCTTGAATCTAAATGCAGAGTTTAAATCTACCGCTAATCCAGTTAACAAAATCCTCTGTTATAAGCAGATGAACCCTCAGCATAGGCTTTATGTAATTGTTGTCAGTGATGTATAATGGCCCCGGGGGGGTGAAGAGGTGTCCTGAGCCTCAAGTCACATGTCCACAGCAAAGGTTTTTATGTGGAGCAATTGTATTTTGGGAACTAAGGTCACATGGGAACCTTATTATAGGAACAAGTGTTAAAAGTACAGACAAACTGAGTCACACTAGTGAGAAAATAATGTAAATACAGGGTGAATGACAGACTGTGATATGATTTTATGATAAATCTGGGGTGTTGTTTCGTCCATAATCCAGCCATCTTCTTTCTGGGTTTTTTTTTTTCCATCTTCAGATAAAGTTCCCAAAACTTTGAAAAACAATATTATTCCAGAAAGAACACTGCAAAGATGACTGTGCAGAGAATTCCTGTTATTATGCTTCATAATATTTACAACTGGCCTTAATAACTGGGGACAAAAATGATCAACCTCACTTTTATTATTGATAGATTTTGATTTGAACTCTGATTAATGGGAAAGTGACTGTAAGTGCATCTTAAGTATATAGGATTTTCCATTTTTTTACTTTTTATTTGGGTGTAAAACATAAGTTGCACAAATGTTTAGTTTTCCAAATCCTTACATATTCAGATAAAAAAATACTCTGACATAACTGGCAAGAAAAAGGTGCATTTTCACTGACAATCACCACAAGTGGAAAAAAAGCAACATTTGACCAAAATAGCCTGCAGAGCAGCGCAGAGTAATGAACTCAGTCCTGTTAGGTGAGCTGCAGACTCTCCGGTGTAACTGCCTGATGACACTTGTTAAGTAATGTTCTGTCATCTTGTCCATAAATGCTTCCAGAGCTCCGACCTGTAATCCCACGCCGAATATACAGGAAACAAACAGCTGAGGTGTGTTCAAGGAAATTCACACCACTTCATAATCAGCAGAGTACAGAGAGATCCAAAAGTGGGACGCAGCTTTATTTCACAGGTAAAAAGTGGTTTTCTTTTGGATGCAAGTATGAATCTAACTAGTTTTTTTTTCAAATGTAAATGTTTTTACCAAACTTCCATTTCATCAAAATGTGTAGAATCAAATTTTGTAGAACCGCATTGGAGCTGTCTGTTTCTTGTACTATTTTATGATACATGTTCATTAAGTGAATCCTTTTTTTTCTGTCACTGTTGTGGTGTGCTTGTGTAAAGTTGCATGCAGATCACAGTAATCCCTGACGAGTTCCCATCACCAGTCTCCAGGGGATATTTTGGTTTTGTACCACAGTAGCTAAGTAAAGGTGAGAAGCTTGGAAGTCCATCTACAGTATATTTTTGGTCGACCTTGGTATTGTTGTTGTTCTAATAACTAACAACAACCTGTACTTAAGATATTAAGTGAGACCTGTGCTCAGCAAAGTCCAAACTATTAACTAGACACAAGACGAGTCAACAGTATTAACTCTAATCTGAAAACAGAAGACAGGTTTAAATGATGCTGTTGTAGACACACACTCGCTTAACGTCAGGGGAGGAGTTCAGGGTGAACATGTCTGAGCTCGAGCCACATCAGTTCACAGGCTGATGGGACAGAATGAGGCACGTTGCGTGACAAGAAGAAGTGATTGTCAGACTGAAGCTGTCAGTTGATTTTTTCTTCTTTGCAACATACTGATTGAAATTAAGCCTGAAAAAGATCATTCCATAACATACTGTCCAACTAATCAGCTTGGGAAATCATTCACAAATCATTTGCTAAAGTTAGAGTAGTTCAGTCCATAAATGTACATTTTCACACACAAAACAAAAAAAACCTTTTGTCTTTTTAGACAAAACACTGACATAACCTCATGAAATTATATTATATCTTCTACCGTTATAGAACTATTTACCATTAATAATAAAAAATAACCCTAAACCTATTCTGTCCATCTTAATCTCTCCAGATAAAAATTACTGCCTACTAGAAATAAAGTACTGAAATAACAGGGTGATTGTAGTTTTCACCATTATGTCAAACAATAAACATTTTTTTTATATTTTTCATTTGCTCAAAAAACTTTATTTGTAACCTTAAAGGTCCAGTGCGTAAGATTTAGGTGAAAGGAATATTGGTGGAAATTTAATATAGAATAATCCTCATGATGTTTTCAATAGTTCGTTTCATCTAAATTGTATGAATTGTAGTTTTCTTTACCCCAGTAAAGGCCCTTTATATTTAAATACTTAATATTTACATCAAAGGGACCCTCTCTACGGAGGCTGCCATGTTTTTTCCATTAGTCCAGACTGGACAAACTAAACACCTTTCTTTTTCATGTTTGGAAGGGGAGGGTGAGGTGAGGGGTGTTCAGCTGCAACATGCAACTTCAACATATATCACAAAATTCTACACACTGTACCTTTAAGAGGAATTTCAGGTTGAGGTAAACAATGCTTTTCCCATTCAATTATTAAAAAATTACTATTTGACATCTTAGAGAGAATATTCATATTACAACAATGCACCAAATGTAGTCAGTGCAATAGATTACACCCGTCATATTTCAAGTGAGACCCACAAAGGTCTCAAGTAGGAAGCAAAGGAGCATCATCTGAGAACCATGCATCACAACTTCTTTGGTTGTTCCAATATTAGGACAAATGAAAAACAACTATTTTATACTATGACTCGAGTTTTAATTGCAAAACAACAAGTGATCACTAAAATATTACATCTGTGCTGTAACAGTTTGTGGGGGGGGAAACCAACTATACTCAAAGGTCACACGTGAGTAAACGAAGACAAAGACTACAGTGGTCATGTACTTGTGTTTCTATGGCATTGCTTTGTTACAAAATTGAATGAAATAACTTATGAGGCAGCATCTGTTGTGTTACAATGCTGAGTTCAAGAGCCTTGTTTTATAACATGTAAGTCAATTTAAAATTGCAGGCAACCCAGAGAAGTGTTGTATTCTTCAAGGTAACAGCAAACACATCCACAACACATGACTGTTTGTGACCCGACTTTGCCGTCGCAACTCCAGAAAGAGAAGAGGTTGGAAATTGCACATGTACGTGGACATCCTCATGCAGCTTTACTTCAGAATGGTATCTTCATTTGCTGTAAGGAAGAAAGAAATATTTGAGGTTAGTACAATTGTAATTTGACATTAACAGCATGACTGTAGTAACAACAGCTGTATTGTAAGCTGTACAATATTATTATTGTATCAACCTGTATGAGCTGAGCATCATACACGTGTATGTGTGCAAACAGGAAGCTGAATATCTTAAGCTGCTTTCAGACATTGCACTGAACTCTGCAGTTCCTCCGTATTTTCTGCGGAGGAGGTGCATGTATGAATGCAAATGCACGGGTGAGACGATCTGCAGACTTTATCCGCCTGGCCTCCTAGTACTAAGTCTGTAGAAATCCAAGAGCAGTCGATACACGCAGAAATTAAAAATAGAAAAAACAAACTAATATCTCCCAGTGAAAAAGTAGTGACGAAATTGTCAAGAGAGTTTGTGGTGATAAGAGCAGACAATGGTGTCGGGGGGTTCTGTAAACATGATCACTTGATCTCCGCAGCGGAATTAATACATCATTTCCTGCCTCTGTCTGCTGCAGCCAGCTGCTCCACCTCTCACCTGAATAACAACATGGAGGGTTTGATGCTGTTGTGAACGTGTCTGTGCAGAAGACCAGCGGGAGGTCTTCTGCACAGACATGTTGTGCAACGTGCAAAAAGCAGACTGTGGGTAAAGTCAGTAGCCAATTCTCCAGATTTTCTCCAGAGGTCATGTCTGAAAATGGCTTAAGTGAACTAATATATAAGTGAATAAGGCTGAAGAGATTACCTTCTGCTAGTTGCTTGGCAATGCGCTCCTGCTCTTCGCGGACCTTTTTCTCCTCCTCCTCGATCCTCCTCTCCTCAGCTGCGATGGGCTTCAGGTTATCTGAGCAAATTAGATAATGGATGGTAAGTTAGGTTTACAAAGGGAAACTAATTTCCTGCCTTGTATCTCAAAATGACATCTGGTTAAATGATCTGAAGTAAATGTACTCTTGAGTTGCATCCAATAAGATATGTATGTCTTGATATAGGTTAGCTATAATAAGCTTAAATGACTTAACAGCTCTAACACCTCTTATGTGACATGCTGCAGGACAGTTTTTTTTTTTTTTTAAACAATCTGACACATCATTGGTTTAAGTGTTTTAAACATGTTTGTTGTGCAGAATGTCCGGCTATAAAAGATGCACATGGTGACTATTTGGAATAACGTACCATATCTCCTTTTGCCATAGATGATGCCAGCGATCAAAGCTGAATACCTGGCTGTCTGTAATTGAGGAAAAATCAGTGAACACATTAGTGAAGTCTTAAAATCTCAAATTAACCTCCAATCAGAGAGTTAAAGGACAGAGGCATCTAGAAGTACTTTGCTGTTTTTGAAACATTTTCTTAGCATAGCTTCCTAATTCACAGCTACATTTATTACTGAGCTGCATTGTAGTTCTGCAAGAACTTATTGAAAACGTGATCAGGTGCACAGAATTAAGTTGAATTAAACGTGTTTCCAAAGTGGTAATGAACTTAATAAGGTTCAGTAAAATCACAATCTACGACAAGTCGTTCATATATAACAACCTGTAGCAGGCAAAGATAGGACCGTGCTACAGCTAAAGGTAGCAGTTAGCTTCAGCTGAACGTTATCAACCTTATGAAATGATATTATTACCTCATATTGTTTTATTGTACATTATGTCCAATGACTTCTGTTTATGACCACCAGCTACCGCTATGCCACTTCAATGAGGCAGCTTCTCGTAGCTTATAGCAGCGTCCGGCTGAGTTTCCTTCAGTGCACTTTGCACAACACATGAATAATAAACACGTGTATTATTGTGGAGCTAAGG